AAAAGACGAAAATAAGACGGATTTAATGTAAAGTATTCCACACGGGTGGGCGTGCGGAAAAAAGACAGAGCCCAATTTTTGGATCAGTGAACAAGAACTCGTCCATCGGCCAATTTGTTGGAGATGCAGGGCGTACCGGTTGCACCAGTGGAACTATAAAACGATGCTTGACGACAAAAGTCAAAACCAAATGTATTCCTTCTCCTCCCCAGTAAAGTGATGTGCTTCATTCAGCTTAATCAGCAAAAAGTACATTGCCTTTCCCCAGTGTAGATTTACCTGATTCACGAACTTATTTTCTAGGTGTTTTTACACTTTTCCCCCAAGTACTATATTTTGACTGAAAGTTCTCATATTAGCGTTGATTTGCCGGGAGCCTCACAGCGTTGAGTGTGTGAGCTACGACCACCCTCCGCCCCGCTCCTCTACGCACGCACCTGCGAATAGCGCCCTGCCTCATCTAATCCACTTTACTGCTACTAGATCCCCGCACCGCTCTCTCGAAAGTTACCTGTTTTATTGTTTCTGTTTGCACTGCGGTGACGCTCCATGAAAGGAGCGACGGTGCATTTTTGCATTAATATCGAGCCCGTTTCCAAACGCAGGAGGCGCGGCGCAGTGGACGCTGTGCTCTGCCCGTAATCTCGTTAGTTTGGGGCCGATCCAGCCTGCCGGGCCGCGCCGCGCCACAGACAACCCCACCACGCCACGCCACGCCGATGCGCTTGGCGAATCATCAGCGCAGCGGGCCGTTGCCGGCCCCCTGGCCTAAACGTGGAGATGGGTCCTACGGTTGGTGCAAACACACAGATTCACACATTGTGCAGACGGAACACACGGTTAAAACGAGTCGGGGGGGGGGGGGGCTTCCCAAGAGGGGTAAACAACTACAGTCATTGTCCCTAAATTCGGACGGTTTTTGAGGAAAAACGCCTGTGACATCTAGAATTTTTGAAATATGAAAAATCGCTGGGGATTCTAGAATCCTCACGTCGAGACGCACCTACCACTCTCCGAAAATATTTTTTCGCGCTAACGGTATAGGGGTGAGGTCTGTTTGAATCGTGTCCGTATTTAGGAACCAATGCGTCCTAAATTCGGACAGCTTCGAAAAATTATGAAAAGTGAAATTTTTTTGGGGGGTATAGAAACTTCATGAAAAAATTTGACCTTACCCTACCGTCCAAATTTTCGTATCTGGTATAGTCTAGTCGCCAGAACTGCTTAAAGATCGCTTTTAATGCGCCCTAAATTCGGACAGTTGTCCCTTTTGCATGTAAAAGCCTATGTCCGAATTTAGGGCGCATTGCAAAAACGCTTCCCAAAATTAAACCGTGCGACGAAAAATCAAAATCTTGGTGTCATATTGTAGGTAAAAGTACCAAGTTTCACATATATTGTGGTCAGAATAACCCGGGCTTACACTGTTCGGAGCCCCAAATTCTTGCAAGACACATTTTAAAACGCCTGTTTTGGGGGGCTAAAAATACAAATTTCAGGAATTTCTGGAGGAAGCAATATTACTCACACATTTATTTTTTTGGCAGAAATGGAAACTTGGTGGTCTTACCTTTCCATCAAACCCATAGAAGTTAAATTTTGATTTGGAGGCGACAATAGTGAAATACGGCAAAATGTCCGAATTTAGGGCGCAAGTCCGAATTTAGGAACAATGACTGTACTAATTTTGGTGTATCCACAATTTCAGATTTCAAAACATTTCAACTATTTCAGTTTTAAGACCATTTCCAAACAATTTCAACCATGTCCAAACCAATTGTACCGTTTCAAATCAATGTCAAGGCCGTTTCAAGACTATTTTAAGCATTTCAAGAACATTTCACGCATTTTCAGAACCGTTTCAAGGCATTTGTACACCCATTTCAGAGTTGTTTACGGTTCCCAGGAGAGTTTGAACCCCACAGGATGCCCCTAAAACAAGCAATTATTCCCAGGGGATCTACTGGAAAATCCAGGATTCCCCCTGGGGAAAATTGCACATTTCCAGGGCAACCCCTGGGACTCTTCCAACCTCGCTGGAAAATGAAGAAAACTCCTGGGGATTCCAGGGATTGTTTTTACCGTGTAGAACCTTCTGGCTGGTTATGCGGTTTCTCAAATTTCGTGATTGTTTTGAAAAAGAGCGTATTATTCTTTCCGTACATTCTATATATTGGGGTTTAGTTCGAGTCCACATGACCGGACAGGACATTATTTGATCACTCCAAAGTGTCCAAATCTGCGTGGCTTACCCTGCAGCTTAGCACTGTTAAGTGTTCAGCTTTACTGTTAAGCACTTTCCATTATTCAAATATCGAGCCAAACACTCAAAAGTGTGCAACGCAACGAAGTGTTGAGAGCACTTGAATGTGCGCGTGTGCGTGCCAGTTTCACACTTACCCTTATCAGCAGTGTGCTCAATCCCGACAAAAAGCTAATTTGAACGTGTCTCTATAAATTTCTCACATATTTGCTACCGGGCTGATCGGTGCAACAGTGTGTACAGTGAGTTGGCACGTGCCCCTCTCACCCACTCTCTTCTCTGTGTCAGCGCGCCTCGGGAGGAGGTAAACTTGTAAGCAGCAGCGCTCTCGCGCGAACTTGAAACTCATTCCGCGAAACTAGCTGTGGCAGCAGAGTGCATTACGGGCCTAACGAACTCTCACAGCAGCAACAAAGACGGTTGTCACCTCGCGCCGCTCCCACGGCCCGGCCTAGGGCTCCTTAATACACTAATCGCTGCCTGACCAGCATCACACCTCAGCAAACACCATCAAGCGGACCGCGCTGTTAGTCGTGCACCGGTTTGTCTCGATGGTCCTGGGGCCGGTCGCCGTGATGTCTCTGTCTAAAGGCGGCAATGGCTTCTTCATGGATGACTCGCGGCGGCGGCGGCGGGCTATGAGGCACGTAGCGGAAATTACCTTCTGGCGGGAAACGCGTCGGGAACAAGTGCGCGGCCGACGCAGCGGACGCGGCCCACAAAAGAAACGATAAGGTTTGTAATTGGAGGCCGGCATTGACAATAAGCACGGCAGGCTGCAGTTGCATCGCGCTGGATGCACTTCGACGATGGGAAAATAGGAGTGCAGCGCGCAATGCAATGGGCCTTGCTGCCGAGTGCCCCGGACCGGTCGGCGGTCGGCCCGGGCCAGGTTAAACTTTCAGGGGAGGGCGACCGCTTTCCTTTCCCTTTCGCGAGGCCCCCTGTGTTCGCACCAAGTTGTATTTTGTAGCGACGCGGTAAACGGTCTGCACGCCTTGGCCTTGCCCCTTTTGTGCGGTGAATAGGCACAGGCAGTTGGACAGCTCTAAATTTGTATGATTGTGTTGTGAGTAATATTGAATTCTTTTGGAGGACATGGACCTCGCCAACTGCTAGTTTTTTGAGGAATAGTTGAAATTACTTTTGCACACACACTTTGGTAAAATTAAATGTGAAAATGTTTAGCGCGGCCGCCAAGTCCTTTTTGCTTCGTGGAGTCTATTATGCGAGATCTGTGGCCTGAGATTTAATCTGTACCTAGAGGGTGGGGCGAATGGCTGCTAACAGTTTATTATGTACCAATTATTGGACTATCATTCTTATTTTCCTTCAATATCATTATTGTAAATGGTCTCTGCTGCCCGGCCACCCGCTTTGCCCGTTTAAGCGTGTGAATTGCGCCCTTGAAAAACAGTAAACGCGTTAACAAGGCCGATCTCGTTATTATTCTTACTGCCGCCCTGCTCTTCTCTCCCCTCATCTTTGATCTCTCGTGCCGAGCTAAGCGGGTCGCTGGCCCGTCAATGTTAAGGTTTGCTGCGAGGATGCATTTCGTTGGTGTACTCGCTTTTTCTAGTCCGCACCTGCTGGCGCCTCGCTGGCGCTGCGGCGCGCCCGGCCGGCGCGGTGGCATAACCGCCGCTTTGTGTGAGCCTGATTAGCCCGAATAGCGACGCTCACGCACGCGAGACAAAAAGGGCCGAATAAGCTCGTGTGCTGGCTCGTATTTGCGTACTCGGTCGTGCACTCGGTTCAGTGAATTTGCCTATTTTTGAGTCTGTTTTCGCTTTCTGTCTTTGTTTGGACTTATATACATGAAGTTTTTGTAGACTGTCCGCTGAGGTACATTTTTCTGGAGGTCCCGTGCAGGTCGGAAGGACGCCCTGATAATCCCTTGCGAAGGATCTGACTTCTTTGTAAGCCTATGAAGGATTTGTTCCTGCATTGTACAGGAAATCGTTTGCAGTTCGTTCGCAATTTGAAGGCAGCCAAGCCACTACTTAACCCTTCTCAAGTATCTATGTGCAGTCGGATAGTTTGGCATTCACACAGACGTGTCGCCCGGGAGGTAGTTTTGGGAACAAGGTGAAAAAAGAAGAAGGGGGATGTGGTGCTTTTGCAGCCCCAATAAATACCCCCCCCCCCCGGTCGCACTGTCGCTCCAGCATACGCAGCACGCACGACATACGGTAGCGGCAGCCTCCGGCAAAGTTGGACGCGGAATACGAAAATCAATTAACTCCAATTATTATGCCACGCAAACTTTTGCTCTTCTGCTGCAGGCTGGTGGTGACGGAGGATGCTTTGTCTGGGAGGTGGGAGGGGTGGCGGCTGAGGAGAGGGGTTCAACAAAACGAGCGATCACCCCCCCCCCCTCTACTTTTCCTCTCCCTGCACTATAACTAAATCGCGTATGTCGAAAAATGTGGAGCGGTGGCTTGGATCTAGGAGTGGGGCGGGGCCGCCCCGCCACGCGCCGCCACCACAACAACCACCACCACCAACATCACCACCTCCACTACGCCCTGCCCTAGCTATGAGGACGTCGGAGCGCCTGCTGCCCGCCAGCTGGTCAGTTCTAGACCAGCGACCAGGACTCAAACATCTTTGAACGGTAAGTCAGACCCACGATGCGGCGCGTCATTCTAATCTACTCTAAATCGACTCTAAATGTAGAATGGGACAATTATGCCCCAAAACTGTCACGATTTTAAGCCGACAAGTACAGCTAGTATATAATTGTGCAAGTTTGTGACAACTGCTTTTTAGGCACAAATGACCTTGTCCTAAAAATAATCCTTACATCAATTGCTATCTATCCATCTATCTATCTATCTATCTATCTATCTATCTATCTATCTATCTATCTATCTATCTATCGGCGCTAATAAAAGGTCCTAACTTGCTGCCGCCCTTCGAGTGCATCCCCGTAAGAAATGGCGACGCATTGGCAAAGCACACCCCTGTGGCCTCCTTATTCTCCACCAACTCCTTTTACGATCGAAGAGGAGCAGAGGAGTGAGTGCGCTAGACGAAGAGAGTGAAGTGTGGGAGGGGGTATGGGGGTAGGGGGGGCAGGAAAAACCGCGGGAGGGTCTTCGACGACTGCCAGACGAAACAAACAGCAGCAGTGGTCATAGAGCTCAGAGGACTTTTCCTTGCACCCTGGAGAATCCGTTACCCCCTCCACCCTCAATCTCCTCTCTCTTCGCTATTTCTCTCCAACTCGCGTGCTAGTTCTTATTGTGCTGTGGTACCCCATGTGTTTGTCTCCCGTTTTAATATTTTCCTGTCGATTATTGCCCTGCCGACCTCCCCGCTCCCGGCTGCGCTGCTGTCGCGGCTCTCTCCCGCAGCACATTGTTCAAATGATGGGCGGTAACGCATCGGTTTCCGATATGTGGCGTAGTATGTCCATCGGAGCGCGGGCGCCGCGAGGCCCGACACCGCCGATCTGAATGGGCCCCGCATTCACTGTTTTGTCCCACGCGGTCACTTCGACAAATAAATGATAATCACAATTATTATTATTATTATTATTATTATTATTATTATTATTATTATTATTATTGAAAAAATGTGGTAATGTTTTTATGGTGTCCTGTTAATTGTATGCGTACTGCCGCCGCCTCTGTTGCTCTGGGGAAATAAGCAAATTGTGCGGGTCACGCGAGATGAAGCAAAAAAGAAGAAATGGGTTTTGGTTTGACTCCTGGTTGACTCGTATTGACGCGGTGGGACGAAACCCAACCTAGCTGGCGGGCGATTATTGCGAGGGTCAGGCTGTTATCCAACCGAAGCCCCCAGGGCGTCGCCGTTCCCCCGTCCCCGCCCGCCCCCCTTTACCTACCGGCTCGTTTTTCGGCTGCGTGAATGACGACCCAAGACCCCAAATGAATTGAGTCCACAAATTTGTGTTTCCTTTCTGTTCTACAAGACAAATGGCTGCCTTTGAAACCGGTCCAGGCTGGCCGTGTCTTGCATTTGCCATTCTGAATTAACAATTAAAGAGCGGTCCAAAGTATGACCATTTACGACAGTGAAGTGACTTCAAGCTTCAAATTTTCGACCACCTAAACCCAAGTTTAGTAAGGATTTGAGAGGATAAATTTCTAACTGATAGTGCCGCGTGGTGAGCTGCGATTAGTTGGCAGGGAAGACCATAGCACTACGGCGTCCTGGCGTGGCCAGAGGTTCTTGTATCGTAATGAGACATCGTGGGTGCGTGCGTGCAAACACCAGCAAAAGCAAAACACAAACACACACACACACACACACACACACACACTCACTCACTCACTCGTTGCATCCTGGCGAAGAACAGCCAGGCGTGATGATGGCGAAAGGGGAATTACCATTTACGGCGGAAGTCGGTGTTTACCTTTTTCCCATCTCGCTAGCATGCAGTTATGCGTCTTGCGCCGAATAAATGGGGTGGATTGCACTAAATATTATCAGCTGCGTCCTTGTGGCCCCTCGCCGTGCGCGCTGCTAGACCAGATGGAAAGGGGGGGGGGGAAGGTCGCATCAGTGGAACTGGCGACTTTACAACGTAGCTCGGATTTAATTTTGTCATATAACAGAGATTTGTAGTCGGCGTTGACGGCGCCGCCGCTGCCTGCGCTTACTTTGGGGTGGCGCATAGCGGGGGACGACATGTCGCGCTCATTTTGTGCGGGGGCGCGGCCATTAGCCCGCGGGCTCCACGGGGCTCGGGGGGGCTGCTGGCTGCGGGGGGCCGGCCGAGTGACAATCCCACACAGATTGGATCCGCTGCGCCCGACATTGAAAGGACTAATCAGGCCTGGCTTCGGCTGGCGTGGCGTGGCGTGGCGCGGCGGGGCGTGGCGTGGCGCGGCGTGGCGTAGCGCGGCGTGGCATGGCGTGGCGCGTCGGACCTGGTGTAGACGCGCGGGCCGCGTAGCACGGCGGCAGCCCGCCCGCCCGCTCGCCCGCCGGGCTGGACCGCTCACGATCACGACGCCCCCCCCCCCTCCTTCCTTTCCCCCGCCACAGCAGAAGACGGCGGCGACGCTCTGCTCATTCGATCGCTATTTGCTGCTTTGGCCGACTTGACGTGCCGCCGACATACTCTAACAGGAGCAGCAGCGGCCTGCCCGTCCGGCGGGGGAAAAATAAATAAATCATCAGTGCGAAAGCGGCTCGCAGTCGGTCAGTAGTCGGCTCGGCATAGTCGGCTCAGTCAGGGCCAATGTTAAGGCCAGGAGGAGGGGAGCGCGCGGCGCGCACCAGGTCCGCAGGCCCGCGCGACCTTCCGCCGGACTTTGGGAGGGATGAGTGATCGCGATGTAATGCTGCCCAGCCCAGCCCGGAGCAGCGCCTCTCCGCGTCCGCCCTGCCCCGCCCCGCCCCCTGTCGCGTTGATTGAATCACTTTCTGTTTGGGTGGACAAATGGGCCGTCGGCCGGGTCGGGCTGCGGTGGAGGCGTCCCTCCCGGTCCTGGTCCTGGTGCCCCGCATTATGAGGCAATGCGCCCTCGCCGCCGTGCGGCCCGCCGTGCGGGCCGCCGTGCGGTTTGCAGGTTCCAGCAGCGGCCGGCCGTGGGAGCCGTCTAATTGGGCACTAAGTGTGTCGCGCCAGGGCGACATTACTTCGGCCGAGGTGCTGATGCACTCGTAGGGAAAGCCCGCTCTTGACCCTCAGTTTCGCAACAACATTTGTATCGAGGCGATGCAATTTTCACTTTTGCTCCACTTCATTTTGTTTCGGGAATTTGCGACAAGCTATGTTCGGTTTATCCGGGGACCTTCATTCAAAAACACGTCTTGCTTTGTTTTTGTCTTTCGGTGGGGAGGGAGAGGGAGGCATTTTTTGTCGCATTAAAATAAGGAAAACTGTTTTTTTTTTCAATACAAATGCACTGGAGGAGATGGGATCAGAAGTACGTCCGTTTTTTTTTATTCATTTGGTAAACAGGAGCTTGGCGCCTGCAAGACTCAGGGTAGGCCACCCTGCAGTACACGGATGCATCGAAGACCAGATGTTGCCTACCTACCAGGCGCTTTGAGAGCTTCCTTAGGTGAACGTGAAAGGTTCGTAGCGGGGAATGACGGACGTACTTTCTGGATGGTATATACATACGCAAAAATGTAGGACTTTGTGCTAAATGTTATTGCCTTGATAAAGATATGGATCGTCTAGTGACATTACAATTTAGCACCTTCAGTACCGGCGATTTGGTTTCTCCCAATGATGCTAATTTCATAGTGCCTCTAGGCACGACAGTCATTAGCACCCCCAAAACAGTGTTGAGTCCTACCGGTCCTACCTTTATTTTTTGCAGTGTGTGTACGAAAAATATCACAGAGGCGTGTGGAACGCAAAATTGTATTACGCTCCGTTGTTGAGATTCTTTTTTTTGAAAGGATAAGTGCTAACCACGCGCACCACCATATCTAGATAATTACTCAATTACTTGTGCGCAATGACTCACCGGGATAGCTAATAAGCGATCAATCACACCACATGCAAATATCTAGGCTTTATTTTTAGAACATATCAGTCATCAGTCTATTCACAGAGCATGCCGTCGACACATTGCGTTTTCTTGAAAAGTTTGTCAGGTGGACAACATTTCATAATATGAGAAACATTCCTGGTCAAGGTATTTCTAGATTTATTCTACGTCAGTAGTTAGTTATGTCCAATCACCAATTAAATGGTCACGAAGCGGCGGATTGTCGTGGGAAGGGGTCGTCATTAGTCATGTCATATGTCAGCCGTAAGCCGTGCCACCGACTGTCGACATACCCTTTCCTTTTTTTCGTCCGTTTACCCGATCGACTTTCGCTCCAAGAGCCTCGCTGTGTGGCCTGTACGATACGATGTACCGAGATGGCTCTGGTTTTCTCTCGTTCATGGGACTGGTCTCGAACTTACGTGGCCTGCCGCAGCGTTCGGACGGCTGCGTTTTTGACAGCAATTGATGTCCTTGTTCGCGCGACCGTTCTTCACCGTCTATCTCCATATACTTAGCGAAGCCAACACTGCACCGTAACTTTTTTTTATGTTGTCGAAATATTTTGTGGGCCGTAATGGCTGTGTGTGTGTGTGGCGGTCGCCTTGAGACGGCCCCCAATAGCGGCTCATGCGCCCGCGCGCGCGCCCGCGGCTGCACATATAGATTTTGGCTGGCATTATAGGAGGTAGCCAGCCACGCCCCCCACTTACCAGACAATCATGTTTCGAGGCGGGCCGCCGGGCGCAGCGGCGCACTCTGTCCTTTCCTAAAGCTCCAGCAGCCCGACACAGGCGCTTTTATTCAAATTCCTTTTGCTCGCAACAAACGTTCCATTCCCGGTGCCCCTTAATTAACCGCGCTCCTAGCGTCGCATGCCTCCTCCTCCTCCCCACATTCCTCCTGGTCGTGCGGCGGGCTGGGCTGGCGCTGCTGGCGGGGGTTCGCTTGTCTGTTTTGATGTGGGGACGCGCCACGCGCCCCGCCGCCGCCGCGCGGGACGACATATCCTCACGCGTCCAACGCGACGTGTGCTGTTGAATTCCTCATCTCGCCACGCGGCCGCGTTTTGTTGTGCACGTGTTACTCTGTAGGGCTATGGCCCATTGTTTTGTTTCATGTTCGTGGAGTACAT